CTACATTACTTGCGAAGAAGCACGTCGGCCAGAGTGCGCTTGCACGTCGTTCCTGCCCGCAGTCTCGCTGTCAGCGGAGTTGGGGCTAAAGCCGACTCCCGATGACGCGCCGCACTCGTAGACCGCGCGCCCGCTCATAGTAATCTGATTGTGCATCTGGTGCGGCCACTCGTAGTAATTAGATCGTGCCGCCGCTTACAGCTTCGTTGCTTGCAAAGAAGCACGTCGCCACGAATGCGCTAGCGCGTCGTTCCTGCCCGCAGTCTCGCTCTCGGTGGAGTTAGAGCTAAAGATGACTCCGATGACGCGCGGCGCTCGTAGACCACGCGCCCGCTTGTAGTAACCTGATTGCACATCCGCTTACTGCTCGTAACTAGAGTGTAATTATATCTTAAGTGATCATCAAGCTGTGAACACATCACGAAGTAACAATTTTCGATAGCCATGTCCTCGTGACACACAAGCAGCGAGGCGAGCTGAGGCAACATGGCGGCCACGGCCAATCAAGGGCCTCAAAACGACCTTCAAACATTTGCTTTTTGCTCGCTTGTTGTTAAGGGGGAACGCGGCACTTCGGGACCGAAAATCAGCCAAAAAATCGAGTTTTCGCGGACCTTCTTTTCGCGTTCCCGACATCATTGCGCACCTATTTACAAAATTTCATAGCCGAATACCATCAACTTTTATCGTTATTCAACTTTAAAAAACCGAAAACGGGCGTCCTGCCCTTTAAATTGAGGGCGAATAGCGCAGGTTTCGGCTCTACGATACGCGAGAACTACGCGCTCGATCGGCGCCATTTTGGTCTTGTTTGAAAGAACGCGTTTTCAGCTGTTTTTTTTATTCGGTAAGCAACATTGAGCGTTTCCCCGGCTCGAAAAACGGGGCCTCAAAAACGAAGAGCCGCGCTCACTGCCATTGGCTAAACGGCGCACGTGACTGAAATGGCGCTTTCCGGTTGGCTGAAAGCTCGCGGCTTGCGCCTGCATACGCGACCCGACGCCATTTTGAAAGGGTTACTGCTGTGACGCCTCGAAATCGGCAGAGCACTCTGAAGCTTCTGATCGTATCGCCATGCCTGGAAACGCAAAAAAGTATCGGACCGTGCACGCATTTGGTCGCAGGAAACGCAAAGGTCGTGGGAGAAAGTCTACGAAGTCATCAGAGCCCTTGGTTGACTCTGACGAACTATGTGTCGACGCTCCGCGGCCGTTCAGCGATGGTGCGACCGAGCGCGTTGCCTCCGACGACGATGACGGTGAAGCGAACTCCGGACGACTACGAATCGACGCCAAGGTGGTGACAAACGCCGAAGTTGAAGAAAATCATGCCCGGGAGAAAGCGACGCTCGACCGGCTTTCATCGGCGCCAGCAACTGCACGGAAAATTGACTTTTTCACCGCGAGTTGTAGCGAGGCAACCGCACAGGACTCGGACCACGCTGCTCCTTATCTGCTTATGCATCTAGATATCCTAAACGCGATAATGGGTGCCTTGTGTTGCAAAGCCTGCCACGGACCGGCTACGATCGTCAGAGGGGATCGGGACTACGGACTTGCCGTGAAAGTGCTAGTGCAGTGTGAAAGGTGCGGCGAGATCGCGAATGAATGGACTTCGCCCCGTGCGAACGGCACGAAAACGTGCAATCTGTTTGAAGTAAATCTTCTCGCTTCGAGGGCGATGGTGGCTACCGGCAACGGCCAAACGAAAATGAACGATATTTTCGCAACAATGGGCATCTCACACCGCGGTATGCACCACAAGACGTTTCAGCGGCATTTGAAGAACACGCTGGCACCCGCTGCAACGCGAGCGGCTGAGTCCGCTATGAGCGAATGTGCGGAAAAGGTTAGAACAATTTATGATGACTTGTGCTTCGGCCACCGGGGCAATATTGCCGTTAGCTGCGACGGCACGTGGAAGACGCGAGGCCATTCTTCCCACATCGGCGTGGGCACAGTTATCGAATTATTTAGTGGCTACGTGTTGGACTACGTCGTTCTTTCCAACTTTTGCCTAGGCTGCGAGGTGGGCCCAAAGCCTAGTAGTGAGGGCTATCAAGAATGGAAGGCTAACCACAAATGCCAAAAAAATACGAACAGCAAAGCGGGGCAAATGGAAGTGGAGGCGGCTCTAATTCTATTTCAGAGGTCGCTTGAACGCCATGGCCTGCGCTACACAACTATGCTGTCTGATGGAGACTCTAGGACATTTTGCGCCATACAAGACGCCAAGGTGTATGGTTACATTGACGTGCAGAAGGAAGACTGTATTAATCATGTACAGAAACGGATGGGCACCGCATTGAGAAACCTGGTGCAGAAACAAAAGTGCGATGGGAAAAGAGGCCTTGGTGGGAAAGGCAGGCTCACAGGTGAGCTGATCACCAGGCTGAGCACATATTATGGCCGGGCTCTGAAATCGCATGAAGGTGACGTGGGCGAGATGCAAAAGGCTGTGATGGCCACATACCGCCACGTCACCTCCACTGATGAATGCTCGGACCACAGTCTGTGCCCAGCTGGTGAAACTTCATGGTGTCGGCACAATGCCGCAAAAGCAAAGGGTGAGCCCGACCCCAGGCATGCCTACAATCTACCGAAAGACGTGGCAGAGGCATTACTACCGGTTTATACTCGGCTTTCGGAAGGAGCCCTGCTTCAGAGGTGCGAACGCGGCAAAACGCAGAACTCCAACGAGAGCCAACATTCGGTAATCTGGAGTTTGGCCCCCAAGGAGCACCATGCGTCCCTGTTCGCTGTTGAAGCAGCTGTTGCAGAAGCAGTGCTGCGCTTCAACACGGGCAATTTGAATTCTGCAACGGCAATCTTAGGTGAAATGGACATGAATGCGACAAGTACTGGTGCCAGGAGAGCGAGAGAAAAAGACCACCGTCGCAGCATTGTCTCCAACAAGAAAAGAACAGCCTCATTGGAACTCCGGAAGCTAGTGAAGAGGAGGCATGAGCACAGAATGCATTCAGACTATACTTCTGGTGCGTTTTGAGGTTGTCTTGTTGCATCTTCTGCAATAAAATGTGTGCCCACGTTTTTTCTCGATTTCTCAAAACGACGATTTTCATGTGCTTCCCATTATGCCGGAGCAATATCTCTTGTTCTATCTGGGTTATCATTACGATTTCTTTTTTGTTTCGAAGATAAATGCAGGGGATGTGTCGTAAAGTAAGTTTTATTGTAATAATTTTGGAGAAAATTCTCTAAATGGATCTTTTGTTTCAAGTGTAGATGGGGAAATTTTTCATGTCATATTCAACATCCCACAACTTTGCTTCGAAATAGCCCAGAACAATGATTTATACTTTATTGCACACTGTGAACATACCGAATTGGTTCTATAGGTTGCACATCAATATCCAAGTTACAGTTAATTAGCTAATTAGGCCTTAATTGAAAAAGTCGCAGTTCATTATATCTTTAAAACTAATTTTCACAGCAAAAAAAGAATTAGATTTTTGAAATCAGCAGTAAAATCTACATAGGCTCTCCAAATTTGACTGAGGTACTCGCAAAAATAAAAGAGTTTTTGGAAGGTGTAGCATCCCCCATTAAAGGGAGGAGCCAGCTGAGGCGGGAAAGTTAAACACGGAGCAATGCTCTTTCCGATGAGCCCAAGAAGCCGGCTCCCGGCCCAAGCATCGTGAAGCTATAATTTTTTGAAAATCGTTGTTTTCTCGCCATTTCCATAAAGTTTTGATACGTAGGTGGGTGAAACAAATTTTCCAAAGCCCGTCTGTGCGGTTTTCAGCTGTGTAGATATTTTGGAACCAGACAGAAAACTTGAGTTTCAAAAAATCGATTTTTTTGCCATTTCTCGCGATCCCAAAGCCACGTCCCCCCTTAAGAACGATTCTCTCATGCGTCAGCTTTTTACTAAGGTAGGCTGGCAGATTGGGAAGAATCGCGACACAGCATCGCCACGTAGAATAGATCTCCCGCGAGGTATATCCACAATTATTTTCATTGATAATGTGCACATAGCCTCTGAGCAACATTACGCAGCTTGAAGTGAAGCTGGTGCACTGCGCTGGTGTCTTCCAGGGGCTCATTCGCTGTGTCAGGTTCTTTTCGCATTCTTTGCGCCTGTTCCCATTTTTCGGGACAACAAACAGCAGCTCCGTCTCGCCCTTCACGTACAAGTAGTCTGTTTGGCACTTAGACACATGGCCCAAGTTTTTCTGATGTTGTGGCGTGGATCAGGCACAAAAAAGGCACACTAATTTGATGCATGCTGCCGAAAAAAACAAACGTGGCGCTACAACGTCTATCGAAATCAAATGTGGCTTGACAACTGCCGTTATGAAAGAACTGACTGGCACTTTCAGCTGCAACGCTCCAACCAAGTTCTATTTATGACGATGCCAGTGTCGCCGGCCGGGAGAAGGCGACGTTTGCGAAGCCACCCCACCACATAGCCTCCGTCGGAGAGTGAGCCCACAGCCCTCTTCTAGTGCACTGCGGTGAAGTGCAAGTGCAGAATATTTGCCAATTGTAGTTTAGTGACAAAGCAGCTCCAAGTCACGCCAAGCCATGCGAAGCCAAATGGAGCCAGAAGAACGAAGCTTAGACAAATCCGTGCGCTACCCATCATTCCCACGCTGGCCGAAACGCCACGCAATAGCAAAGCTCCCGTAGACACTAGCTCCCTCTAATGTACTTATAGGAAAATAGTGGCTACTTGGGCTGGTTGGTATTGCATTTTTTCAGATAAATATACTTCGTTAGTGCGCAGAGAACGTTTCAGAGGGCTCTGTCCTATCTCGCTGCTATATCTTCTTTTTGAAATGGTTCCTGCACACTAAAGAAGTATATTTTTCCCAAAAAACTTATAGGAAACCCTATGCCTGCGATGAAACACGTGCGAGGAGGCACCCCTCAAACATCCCGGGGCGAATAATCTTAGTCTTAGCGTCACCTTTAAAGTGGTCATTCTAACAGCGTAGTGCGATGTTAACGGCAAAAGCGTGTGGAAGTGAATCATACCTGGCCTGGAAATCTGCGACCATGTCCCTCCTGTCGGAGATCTTGGAGGAACCGTCCAACCGCATGTACGTGTGCTTCCGGTGCCACATGTACTCCTGCGCGAGAGTCGTAAATGGTTATGATGACGATAACCAGTACACAATAACGGCACACACACTGACACAATCCTAGTTGTCTCTCCTTTCCCTTTTATTGTATTCAATTATTTCTTATTATTTTTTTAGGCTTGTTTGGATATCACTTTTCAGGTTCAAAGAAAGGTTGAACCAAATGGGTCTTTCAAAATGACCTAAGAGAATGCGAGTTATAAACAACAAAATACATAACACTAATATTTATCAGCCTTGCCCATATAGGCTGGTATACACACTTGCAAACTTTAAAAGAAACATTAACCGGTGCAGTTAATATACACACTTACCCTTAAAGTATAGCTTTCAAGCATTCTGGATATCCCCTGAATGAATGGCTTCACAGCACACTGCGGCCACAGTCCACATACATTACATGTGATAAAATCGGCTATTCGTTCACTTCAAGTACATTGAATTTTCAGAAATTTTAAATTATAGTCAAAGTAAATTCAAATACTTTGACTTTAACTTAAAAATGTTTGCACAGGCCTTATCTATTGCATGCTTGTCTATTCGGTGCAGCATAATTTACACTCAAACCTCATTATAACTAAGTTGCATCAAGCACGAAAATAAGTTTGTTATAACCAAAAATTTTTTATAAAGGGTATATTCCTAACACCATACTTACTGAAAAGCTGTTTATAGTTTACTTCGTTATAACCAATAATTCATTATATCCAGGTTCGTTAAATCGAGTTTGTACTGTGTATCTGATTTGTAATTTCAATTACAGCAATACCCCGTTAACTAGGAAAATGGGCTAAGCTGAAGTTTTCCATTTTCCTATACGTCCCATCTATATTTTTCCCTTTATCTCAAAGTATTTTTGGGTCGAATTGCAAATAACTCAAAATCTTGAATGGGAGCGGAACGAGAATTCCGCCGCCGGACCATTTCACAAGATTCACACGATGCTGCCACACCTGAAGTCCATCAATTCTTTTTCTTATTTAGCTGCACCTGCCACTACATAGACGCTTTCCGCCAATGTGAAGTTCGCGAAATCTCAGCCCAGCGACATATCAACATTGTCAAGCAAACCTGTGACACATGCACTGAGCAGGGAGGCCATCTGCCCACGCTTGGCATAGTTTGTCTCGTTCACTTTGTGACTTTGTGCAGTGTACATGATTTTTCCTGAGGTGTGATTACCACTTATCTTGCAAACCACGCAGTACGGATTTTTCGCTGACTCCGAGTACAGTGCTTGCGATTTTCCCTGCAGTGTGATTTCCCCTCATTTGCGCAAACCGAGCGTGACAGATTTTTTTGCTGACTGTGAGGAGCGGCAACATAGCGTGAGTGCGGCGAGCATAACATCCGAGCACTGCAAGTTGCTATCTCTAGAAAAAAAGGCTCGAAATCAAGCACCGCGCAGGAATTCGCCATCCCTTTGTTTACGCTCTCGATGGTACTGAAAAACAAGCAGCAAGTGCTGGATGGATTTCAGCAAAACTTCTCCAGCCAGCGGAAGCGAGTTCGAGTGTCGGTGTCGAAGTTCCCGGACGAAGCAGTGTTGATAGTACGGCTGCGCAATGCCAAAGCGGCCAACTTTTCCGTCACCAGAGCAATAATCATGGAGAAGGCAGACGCACTGGGCTTTGCCAATGGGGCACACGGACTTCAGCTGCCGCAGCGGCTGGTTTGACCGCGTCAAAAAAAAATGAATAGTGTAATGTCCAAGTCAATGCACGGCGAGAGCGGCACTGTCGATGCAGCCACTGCAGACAATCGGCGCAGCAGCCGGCTCGCCGAGTTGCGGGAAAGTTACGCCAACAGAGACATTTTCAACCTTGACGAGGCAGCACTTTTTTATAGATTGTTGCCGAGCCGCAACTTCACGCTGAAAGCTGGAGCCTGCTCGAGAATAAAACAACGAAAGGATAGGGTCACTGTCCTTTTCCGGGCAAATGCCACAGGTGAAGAGAAGCAGCCGTTACTCAAAATTAGCAAAACTCTTGAGCTTAGGTTCTCTAGAAATGCACGACTGTCAAATGGCATTATCTATCACGTTAATAGAGCAGCCTGAATGACTGCTACTCTTTTTGAGGAGTATGCGCTGTAGATAACAAGATGGCCATAAAAAACAGAAAAGTCCTGTTTATTGTCTACAACTGCCCAGGCCACGGCGAAATAGAGAATTTGGAGGCAGTGAGAGTCGAGTTTCCGCCAGCAAATATTACAGCTGTGCTACAGCCGATGGATCAAGGTGTCATCAAACTGGCCCAAAAATCTACAGAAAGAGCCTTCTCCACAGAATTTTGATGTCTTATGAAAACGGCAAAGGCTACGAAATTGACCCTGCTGGAAGCAGCACACCTTCTCAGCAGCGCTTGGCAACAAGTTCGCGCAGCAGCCATTGCCAACTGCTTTGCGCACGCTGGGTTTTCATGTGCCGCCAGTTTGCCAGAAGCAGAGACGGCAGACAGATGACTTTACAGACCGTGAAGAACTTTGTCAGGCGGTCATCAAGCTTACAGGTAACAGTGCCACCGAAAACGACACGACATTTCTGGAGTACACGCTGTGTGAGCAGGATGTGGAGGTGACCGGAGCAATGCCAGACGTCATTTATTATTATCTATCAATTATGCCCCCCTACTTGGCCTCTTGACCGCAGTGTACAGTAAATAAAATCAATAAAATTTCAAAATACCTACCTAATATCATAAGAAACTGGCAACCCACAAGGGGAGCATCTAAAACCATGTGCGCTGAAGCTTCAGTGATGCTGAATGCACAGTTTTCATACTGGGGGACCCACGCACAGTGAGAAATGTGGGTGCTTTGAGCGCGTCCCTTTCAGAAAAAAAAAAGTAAAAAATCGTGGTGTAAGCAGCCGTAACGATCTTGAGAGCAGCCCAACAAGGGCGAGAAACAAAAGACCTCGTTGTGTGCAACTAGTGATTTCGTGTCCGCCCCGTGAATATTCTGCGCCGTCAACAATACTGTCATCTTGTGAAACATCACAAGGGCCTCTTTGTATGTCATACAAGCGGCGATGTTGTGAAGTGCTTAAGTGGGGACAAGGGTCTTTTTGAAGTCGACATTTTTGGAATATGCAACTATTTTGCACTTATCTGAAAAGTTTCTAGCTTCTTGTGTCATTATTTCTCGTGCAAAATCAATTTATAACACCCCTGTGAGATGAATCTGAGTGCAAATAAATAAAGATACACTCAAACCTCGATATAACGAACATAGTTATAGCGAATTATCGGTTATAACGAAGTAAATGAAAAAAAATGCCTTGTAGTAGATACAATGTTTGGAATGCACTTTTATAACGAATAGCAAGCAATACAAGCATCTTAAATTGGTGTTCAAGCAAAGACACGAGCCCTCCAAGTCCCTTATTTAATTTACTCAGTCTCACATAACAAGGCTTAACTGCAGTGAAGGTTGGGCAAGCAATATGCAACGTAGACTCACTTCGAGGAGGTCGATCATGCGCGTCATCTGCGAGTAAATGAGAACCCGATGGCCCTCGGCCTTCAGTTTTCGCAGAAGCTGGTCCAGCACTTGGAGCTTGCCGGAGTCCGTCACCAGGGTCTCCTTATCTGCAGTTGACAAAAAAAATTATAAATTTCAAGTCAGAAACAACAGAGCACCAACTTTTCTTTCTTTAATTACGAAAGCTCCCAAGAGATAACAGTCAATTTTGGTGAGACGATTGTCTGCCGATGCCGTTATTGTCGTTGCGCACAGTGAGAAAACAAAATATCCAGGATTGAGCAAGTTCGAACCCAGGCCTTTCGTGTGACAGTTGAGTATTCTACCACAAGTACACGCTGGTGCCTAGAAGTCTTTCACAAAGACTGTATACAGTGAAATCTCAGTAGAACGAACCCCACATTGATGAACTTTTCAGATTGATTGATATGTGGGGTTTAACGTCCCAAAACCACCATATGATTATGAGAGACGCCGTAGTGGAGGGCTCCGGAAATTTCGACCACCTAGGGTTCTTTAACGTGCACCCAAATCTGAGTACACGGGCCTACAACATTTCCGCCTCCATCGGAAATGCAGCCGCCGCAGCCGGGATTCGATCCCGACACCTTCGGGTCAGCAGCCGAGTGCCTTAGCCGCTAGACCCCCATGGCGGGGCAACTTTTCAGATTAACGAACTTTTAGAAAATCCTGCGCAGACTGCTACTAGTATCAATGTAAAATTATTTCGCTACTACGTACTTTAGAATACCCAACTTTTCAAAATAACAAGCATTAATTTAGTTCCACGTTATATTAACAACGCCTCAGTACTAAGAACTCATGTTCTGCAATCGGTCGCGACCACCGGAGCGGTACGCAAGCAGACGACACAGCGAACGGACCCCTTGCTTCTCATAACACGCGCTAGGGCGCGATGGGAAAAAAAACAAAAGGACGACTTTCTTCTCTTTCTTTCTTTTTGTTGAAACACCGATGCTGCAGGATTGCAAGCGCCGAGGCGAGGCAAGGGCAACACGGGAGGGCAGCGTGTTTGACAACCGTATGCAAGTTTCCGCTAAGCAAGAAAGTTTGTGCTGTGAGCGTAAAAAAAAAACAAAAAAAAACACAGAATTCTTTAAAGTAAATGTGCATTTTTTGGTGTTCACTTGTGTATTTGTTTTTTCTCGTGAAAAACGAGTTCAAGGACCCACCGTTGTAAAGGTAAGTCGTTTTGGTCCGTGAAAAATAAGTATTTATTCTAGGGATTTCACAATAACGACTTTTCAAAATAACAAACAAACTGCCGCGGCCCCCTGAAGCTCATTATACGAGATTTCATGTCAAACAAGCAGTTACGTTAACAGAAGTAACATACGTGCTGGATGAGTATCGTATTTATTCGAATATAGGTTGCTTTTTTTTTTTTCCCAAAAATGTTGTTCATAACCAGCTATCGACTTATATTAGTGACCAAGAAATCTTGACTTATATTCACAATGAAACCAACCAAAAGCGCCGAGCTTATCGTGTTCAACTGCCGCGCCCGCTGTTCTTCAAGGGGTTCCTGCTGCATACGCATGTTATATTGTTGCCTACATGCACGAAGACAACGAAGCGTTTACGGTGAACGCACTTGTCGCCCAGAGCGAGAGAGGAAGAAGAGGATCAGGAGGATCTTTAACCAGTCGGCCGCTTCTGAGCTGCCCCTCACGACCTAATTAACGGCCCCTTTCAACGTCTACCAGTCTCTTTCAAACGTAACAGAGTGGTGGAGGAGCTGGGCAAGCGCTTCAACTACAGAACGGTCACTTCCACAGCTTCGACGAAGCCGTTGACTTGCCGGTCTCCCACCATCTGCCGTGAGTGACTTCGACATGCCCGAAGAAGCAGGCGTTTCCAGGACGGCACCATCTGGCCCGCTTCTGTACTACCGAGTTCATCCGCCCTTCGGAGGAAAAGCCGAAGAAGGTGTCGACGCCTGGCTCACCAAGTACAAACGTTTGGGCAAGTCCAACGGTTGGGATGCAGCCGCTATGTTAGCCAACGTAGTGTTCTCTCTGACCGACACCGCACTGGTATGGTACGAGACCCACGATGTGGGATCTTTTTGTTGAATAGCTCAGGGCGTGTTTCGTCAACTCGGTTGCTAGAAAAAAGCGGGCTGAGCAAACACTGTCGCAACGGGCACAGCTACCAGGTGAGACATGCACCACTTACATAGAAGTGTTAAGGCTGTGCAAGGTGGTCTGTGCTACCATGACGGAAGAGGACAAAGTAGGGCATCTGCTCAAAGGGATAGCCGAGGACGTGTATAATTTTCTAATTAAAAAAGAAAGCCTCAGTTCTGTGTCCGACGTCATTCAGCATTGCCGAATGTTTGAAACGCTCAAGATGCGTCGAATTGCGCCCAAGTTTGGTCGGCTGGCTAACGTTACAACTGTTGCCAGTGTGGACACGAATCCTGGCCTCGACCTTTTTTCTACCATTCGAGAGGTTGTTCGTGAAAAACTGTCCCACCGAGAAATGTCGTGCTCGACAGCTGACCATCGCGAGTTGTGTCTGCCACGTGAGGCTATGGATGTGCCTCCTTTGACCCCATGGCAACCGACAATGAGCGCGGCAACTGTGGAGTACAGCCCAGCCCCACAGTCAAGGATGACAACCAGATTTCCCGCGTTGCGGTATGACCGACGCTCTCAGCGCATGCCTCCTCAACACCCGTCTCGGTACGACGCACCTAACCAGTACATCCGTCACACAAGAGCAAATGATGACGCTCTATTCATTGACGAGCGACCGACGTTTCGACCTCGGCCGGTGTGCTATTCCTGCGGTGCGCCAGGCCACATATCGTGATTTTGCAACCGTCAGGTGACTCCTCGGTATCACCAACCATCCGACTTTTCACGACCCTTCGAACAGCCTCATGGTGTCCGACGGCCGGCCCACATACCACCTGATGACAACTATTGGCCCAGCAGCTTCCGCAACCACTCCCCGGCATCTGACAGGAGTTTAACGCCCCCACCGCGACCTCGTACTCATCGTTCTTCTTCACCGCTGCGTCGCAAAGCGCCCTCTTCGCCACCGGAAAACTAGCCAGCGCGGCCAATGGGGGTGAGGTCGCTGAATACGTGCTACTGAGAGAAATACCTTCTGTGTGTATGTTTAAAAACAAAGTGCGTGTTTTGGTGGATTATGTGCCTGTGATGGCCTTGGTGGACACAGGTGCAACGATTTCCATGATGAGTGCTTCCTTTAAAGACGTGTTAGGGAGGAAAGTTGTTTTTACCTGGGATGAAACTTCGACGTTCTGTGGAGTGAGTGGTGAGCCATTGCGCCCTATTGGTGTGTGTAGTGCTGAGGTATTTTTGGGAGGCCTTATGATAACGACAGAGTTTGCGATTATTCCTCGGTCGACACATGATGTCATTCTCGGCATGGACTTTTTGCGAGAATGTGGTGCCACTGTAGACTGTCGCACGGGGAAAGTCCTTGTGAGTGGCCAGATGCCTTCAGAAGTTCTGAAGAAACTCCAGCGAATGACCAAACTACGCTGTGTGTCTGTGGCGATACGTTCATACCTGCGCTGTCTACCGTACGTGTTCCTGTTGTTTGTTGCGGCGTGGATTCTGACAGCTTCGATGCAAGCGTAGAACCAATGCACATAAACTGCGTGAAGAAGAATGTGTTGGTTCCCCATTGTGTGGTGTCGATTGATGGCGGAAGAACTGGCCTATGGACTGTAAACTGTTCCTCTGAGCCCGTGACACTACCCAATGGTTTGAAATTAGCTTCGGTCAGCAAAGAACTCGCGACCTTATCAGTGGTCGAGCTCACAGACGTGCCGGAAGAACGTGACGAAACTGGTTGTACAATTTGGACGGGGTGCTTATGGCAACGATAAGTAAGTCGCTTAGCTCAAGTGAGCGCCGAACTTTAATGAATGTGCTGTTGAAGCACGTTTCGATATTTGACTTTGTGCAGAAAAGCAAAGTAATCCCTATCCCCCTGTCTCGAACGTGCCATACCATCAACACTGGCGCGGAAAGTCCGATTCGCCAAAAACCATATCGTGTTTCTCCGTCAGAAAGACAAATTATCAACGGCCAAGTGCAGGAAATGATGCAAAAGGGAGTAGTACAAGAGTCAGCTAGTCCGTGGGCAGCACCGGTAATCCTTGTTAAGAAGAAAGATGGATCTTGGAGATTTCGCGTCGACTATCGCCGATTGAATGCTGTGACTAAAAAGGACATATACCCGCTGCCCCGTATAGAGGACGCAATAGACTGCTTACATTCGGCCTCTTATTTTTCCTCCGTAGACTAACGATCCGGTTATTGGCAAATTCCGATGCACCCAGAGGACAGGAAAAAGACTGCTTTTGTAACCCCTGATGGGCTCTTTGAATTCAACGTGATGCCATTTGGACTGTGCAATGCATTGGCCACGTTCGAGAGGTTTATGGACACCATTCTGCGTGGCTTGAAGCGGAACATCTGCATGCGCTACCTCGACGATGTCGTCATCTTTGGCCGCACGTTCAGTGAATACAACTCTCGTTTGGATACTGTTTTGAACTGCATCCGAAACGCTGGCCTAATTTTAAACTCGAAGAAATGCCACTTCAGAGACCGCCAGACGCTTGTGCTCGGGCATCTCGTTGACAAGGATGGCATCCGCCCTGACCCCCAGAAGACAGCAGCAGTTGAGGCGTTCAATGCCAAGGAGCTCGTCAAGGAGCTTCGTAGTTTCCTGGGGCTTTGTTCGTACTTCCGCCGCTTTATTCCGAAGTTTGCCGACGTTGCGTATCCTCTCACATGCCTCTTACAAAAGGACAATACCTTTGAGTGGACTTCAAAGTGCGATTCTTCATTCCGTCAATTGAAGTTTTTGCTGACGTCACGACCCGTCCTTCAGCACTTCAGTCCTGCTCCGACAGAGCTTGATACGGATGCTAGCGGCATAGGTATTGGAGCCGTCCTAGTACAACGTTACGGCGACCGCGAACACGTCATCGCATACGCAAGTCGCTCCCTCAGCAGGCCGGAACAAAACTACACGGTTACGGAACAAGAATGCCTGGCAGTATTATTTGCAATTCAGTGGTTTAGGTCTTACCTGT